ACGCAATGCTTTTTGTGCGCCTCAAGAGATTTTTTCAAGAAGACCGATAAGATGCAAACGTTTTTATCTTCATGGAAAACTGATCTTTGCTGAAAGTATTTTTACACTACTCTGTTGCAGCGTTCAGTACATTTGATGCTGGCTGTATGCCTTCTTAATCTTTACAATGAGAATGAGCAAACACTATTTTTAGCTATCCTGTAGATATTTTTATCATTTTTTAAGGCCAAATGATCTCTTTCTATTAATTTTTAATAATGTTTTGTTGTTATTCGCTAATGACAACGAAGACAAAACAAGGTCTTAATAAGCATCTTTGCGATTTTTCTAAAACCCCTTATTTGGGCGCCAGGTGGGCCACTCGAGGTAGACTATAACATGAAATGACAACTCATTTGGAGTCACTTATTCCTTTGTAGTTTGTGCAAAGTCAAAACGTTGTGCTACAAAGCACCTTTAAATGAAGTGCAAGAGTGTGCTTGATTCAAATGGCCGGTGTCCTATGCGTTGACACAGTTTATTCCTGCTGTACAAGGCGGTTCCAACTTTTGAGACTGTGGATCGATGAAATTCCTGAAGTGTTATTTACAATTCAGTGCAATACTAAGCACCACCCTTCTGTGGTATTGTTAATCATGCTGTACGAGGTGGTTCTAACGTTTGAGTCTGTGGATGAAATCCTATGGTGTGGCCATGCAAATGAAAGCTACTGAGCAGTACTTTCCTGTGGTGCTGTTTATTATGCTGTACAAGGTGGTTCTTACTTTTGAGTCTGTGGATGAAATTCTAAAATGTTCTCATCCAAATGAAAGCTATTGAGCAGTACTGTTGCTGTGGTACTCAGGTTCATTTCCTGTGCAAGGTGGCTCTTACTTTTGAGTCTGTGGATGAAATTCCAAAATGTTCTCATCCGAATGAAAGCTATTTAGCAGTACTTTTGCTGTGGTACTGTTCATTTTGCTGTACAAGGTGGTTCTTACTTCACGTGAGTCTTTGGATGAAATCTTAATTTCTGACCATTCAAATGAAAGCTGTTGAGCAGTACTTTCCAGTGGTACAGTTAATTGTGCTGTATAAGATGAGATCGATTCTTCTTTTCAGTTTGCGAGTAACGTCATGGGTCATGGTGTTTAACCTTCCTCGGATCTCTTTGGGACTGTCTCTCTGTCAACAACGACAACAACTTATTTTTAGAATTTCTATTTGCTTGAATAATGGTATTGCCGATTCTCAAAATTATTCAAGAAGGGAATATTTCCATTTTTCAACTGAACTAGACAAATCAAGAGAATTACAATCGAATTGTCTTTGTTTAGTAAGTTTGTCCTAGTCTTTTACCACCAATAAAATAATTTCGTCTTTGATATTCGAGGGCATGAGATGAATTTTTTTACTGTTTTAAGAACTGGTATAATCTTTTGTATCAAAAGAACAATTTATAACCGGATTAAAACAAATTTGCGCTTGAGGTTGCTCCCATCTCTGAGAACAGAAAAAGCAAACCATCGTGTTAGTAGAGACTTCATATAGAAAAAGGTGGAGAAAAGACCCTCGTTCGGAGTGTTCATGTAAACAAAATAGGCATCGCGTGCTAGATATTTTTAACATGGTTAAAAGATCGTTTCAGACCAAACAGAGCAGTGATGTGTCAGTTGACATGATCGCCCTTTTAAATGAGTAAACACTGGCATTTCCTTTTCTTGAATTTCTGACAAGATTTTAATCCTTCCAAATGATGTTTTAAAAGAAAATGTCAACAGATTTTCGACGAAAGAAAAACATCCTAAAGTATGTAAATCTTGGTCAGTTTTTGAAAACACTGTCACCCAATTCCAATAACGGGATTGGGGCCAAACCATGCGTTTTCGTGCACGCGACTAATCGGAAATATCGCTTTGTTTTGCTTACTGTATTTCTGGAGAACGTGTTTAAAGGGCGTATAGCAATTCGCTCACTGTGATTCGAGCTACCTGCTACTTAACTGGTCGGTTGCCCTACTCGATAAACCTTCTACAGAAGGCATGCAGGAATTTTGTTTTTGATAACTGCCCAACCTCATCACGAATGAAATGGGTTATCCCTATTCATTGTACAGGAAATGAATATCGCATTAGTTAACTGACTCATGGACAGATTACAAGAAATTCTGGCAAGTGTTGTAAGAGTTCTTAATGAAGAAATAATTGTAAAAAGTAAGATATTTCCACTAATTGCTTTCTTTCAATAAGAGTATGAAGAGAGATTTACAAGAGCCAACCAAAAAACCTGTGTAAAAAAAGGTGAAATGTGGACTTCCTGAATTACGCAACAGATACCCCCCAGAACTTGTGTTTTATGGCAAAATAAACTAAATCTGTTATGTTCTTACACCCACTCTTGACAAACCACCGTTCCTCCCCACGTGCAGGTCGTCACATCCCAGAACTTATACACTGACAAGTTACATCACTCTTGTGGGTGCGGACGTTAGCTTACGCTTCGATCTCACTGAGTCGTACAGGCTCTAGTGAATAGCTGTTCATCCCAAAACCCTTCTGAAAATCTTTAAGGAGGCAGCGTTGCTGAGTGGCCATTGCGTCGGACTCGCAATCCGGCGCTCCTGGGTTTGAGTACCGCTCTGACCACTTGCTGGATTTGCTCTCGGTCTCCGGTCCAGAATTCATTCACCTTTACAACTGACCCATATATATCACTTGCGTCCACCTAATAGACCGAAATGGCTGCTGGATTAACATTCTTTCGTTTTAATTAAATTTAGCCTGACTAGTCTCGTTCCTCAGTACAGAATTCAAAAGGATACATTATCTCAGTGGAGGCTAGTCAGGCTTATTTAATTTCAAGTGGTGAAAGCAAGTCGCGCATTCTGTCCGATCGCTTCCAATTCCGGTAATGACATATCTGTATCTGTGATAGAAAGAGGAAATACGACATGCGTGGCCAGGAAATAAGGCCACATTTGTTCATAAGACCTGGACTACTGAAATAATCTTCTTTGAAGTTAACCTAAAACTTCTATAGAATATCTGCCATTATAATCATTTTTCGTTATGCTTCACTTAATTTTTCCCCACGTGCCTGCGTTTTGTTCTATTTAACACTAAAGAAGGGGCTATCTCAGAAATATCTTTCTTCTTCACAGCATATTTAGTTCTATCAATGGGTAAGGTAAATTAATTTCGATCCAAGACACATTTCTAAGGAGATGAAATGTACAGTTGTAGTTGTATGTGCAAAGACGTTTTTAAGCGGCACAAGTCAAGCGGAAGGAGACTTTGCCCATATTTGGGGGCAGAATGTCTCTATAAGAGTAAAGACACTGAGCAATACAAATTTGGTAGTGTCAAGCCATGTTTTAAAAGGGGAAAATGCCTCATTTCTATTAACGTGCGTCGCGCAAGAAAGCCTTTTGCTTAATCTCCCTAATATTCACTCCCGTTCCTCGTTTGTTTGTTTTGTCCACAGTTTATATCAATTATTTGTGGATAAGAGCGTTCGTTTGAAGAAAGCGGTTATCCATCCATTTTCCATGTACTCCAAAAGGACAGAGCCATTAGTGTCCGAGTTCTCAAGGTATGGACTCTTTTAAGTTCATAGTATAGAGAATGAGACTGAGTTGCCCGGCCCTAATTTAAATCAGTTTCGTTAACAAATCAGCTCATAGCTGAGCGGATAGAGCGTTGGAATTGTTATCCGGAGGCTCCGAGGCTGTGGTTTCAATCCCTGCCATGACCGCTAGCCGGATTTGTTCTCGGTAATTCCGAGCTCAACTCTTCGGTCGCGCTTTTACTAAGCCAACTGATTTGCCTCCGGCTAGCTGGGATTCTTAACCCTCTGGGCCAACATGGAAACTACTTTTACCAGTATTAGTGTTACCTATAAAGTCATTATTATTTTTAGAGTTAATAAAAAAAAAACTCTAACGACTAATGGAACTTTACAGTTTTCACGCCAAATTTCATTTAAAGGTAACCGAAACTCTGTTAATAAAATCTGGTAAGGTTGTAATTCAGAAGAAACCTCTGCAATCTGCTAGGCCATAGTTCGGTAATTAAGGGTTAAGGCTGTTTTCCCTCTTTCAAAGCTACGTCACCAACATTTATCCAATTTATATCATGACAGAATGTGAAGACTTTATTATATATCAAATTAGTTAATGATAACTACAAAGACTGAGTGACCTAATCTTTTCATTAATAGTATATGGTAACTATCGACAGATATTTTTATACCTATCACTTAACGTTTTTCTTTTAAGTGAAATTTCCCATCCTTTGACTTAAAGCAAGCAGATGACATTTACGTTAGTTTTCGCCATCAAAATCTTGCCCAAAGCAAGGATTGATTCTTACATATAACCTTTTTATTTTTAAATCTACACTTAAATGAATACAAAGCTGTATGTGGTTCTTTGCAGCCGAGTTGTCCATCGCACACACGAATTCTCTTCTTTGTCAAACCTTAACTTGTTACCGACGATAAAATGGATATTAAACATCGTTAACTCAGTATAAAACGTGTCGTTCGCCACAAAGTTATTCTCGAATGAGGGTTCTCCCTTATAGAAGCAGCATGAGTTTGTGGATTTATTGTCTTGGCTGTCCTTAGCTGATACCAGATGGGTCCAGAAAATGAAAGTTTGGATCTGGGAAGAATAGATATTTCCCAGCCTCGGCTTGAAAGTGGGTAATTTTTTAAAGTTGAGCCTAGAAAGGAGAGCATAGTTTGGTTCTAAATATGAGGAAGGATGTAAAGCAGGGGGCTGCGAACTCCGTCGAAAATTTGGCGGTGTAACCGGTCTCTTCTCCGCTCTACCGTGCAACACGCCGTGCATACGTTAACATGAGTACAGTCCAGTACTTCGTGTCCTAAAATCCTTTCAACGAATTACCCACCAACCTTGTGAGTCTCTCTCAATACCTCACTGGTCTTGGTCAGAATAGTCAATTCCGGTGTTCGGCCTCTTGGTGAAGTCTGACATATGATACGGGCGTTGTAGTAAATTATTTACACATTGTCACCCAGGCGTTCTCCACGCACTCATCGCATAAAACGTAGCAACACCAGTTAAAATGGCAACGGCATCTAGACTTAATAGTCATGTGGACAGTATCGTAGCCTCTGTCGCAGCAAAGGTGATTACAGTTGTCATTGCCCAAGGAATCCACTTTGCAAACTCTTCCTTTCGTCCCTGGAATGCTCAGCGAGGCATCCTGTCGACAATAGTCAGGAGAAGATTCATAAAATACCAGATCCCTCAGAAATTCGTCACGATGCGCAGCCTTTAACTTACGCTGAAAAGGTCGAAGTTTGCCCCTGTTTCGGTTGCTCACGCGAATTGTTGTAGCAAATTCATACTTCTCCTTGAGAACTGTTCCAATTTCACCGAAATCAGGAACAGTCTTCCAGCACGTTTTTAGGCTGCAAGAGCCGGATACCCCAATACATTTGCACTTGGTTTTCATAAGATCAAGCACTGCCTACAAGGGAAAAAGGAAAGGAAGAAAGTTCAATTCAGAATTATTTCATGAAATTTCCCATCTAGTAGCGGACAAAGTCAAAATTCAAAACGAAATTACTTGTTGCCACGCGCTGAAAAACAATTTGTCTTGGGCCAAACCACAGCTGAAAAAGTTCGGTATAAATGCTTGTAAAGTGAAAATTTTAAAAATCTTATCATCGAATCGCCTCAGGGCTTTTCAACGATAATTTATGACACTGGTTGGGGGACGTTTGCCAGACTGCTTGGATTGCAGTTTTCAAGTAATAAAGGAATGAGTAATGACGCCTCCTAAATGTGACTGTGAAAGTGAGATGGACCACCACACCGAACTTGATGAACATTATTGTGTGGGATCTTTTAAGATCCACAGAATATGTGCAAGACTTGTGAGACGGAGCCTATGGTTCATCTTCCCTATCCCAAATTGTCACACTCAAGGCAGGGCTCAAAATAACGATTAATCATGGGACAATGTCCGGCCAGAATGGCAACATGACTGCCCAAAAACTTCACTCGCCGGTCATATTGACCGGTCTTGCATACTCCCATTCTTGAACACACAGCCAACTCCTCACCTATAAATCTTAATTAGATTTTTTTGTCTCCGTGTTAAAATACAAATAGAAACTTACACAAGGATTTGTTAACTTTTCTTCCCAGTATTTTGATTGGTGAGAAACCTGACTTGACGGAGCAAAAATTTCTTTGGCTGGTTATCGTGTCCGGCCACCCAAAAATTATTTTGAGCCCTGAAAGGATTTCGTCCATAGGATCTTTAGTTTGTACACTTTTGAAAAGTGGCACAAGGAAGTCGAAGGCTGAGTCAGTAGCTTTCAGTTGAATGCCAACCTGTGGGACTTCGTCACTTAAGAGGTAAAGCAATCTTGCAAAGCATGCGTATTAGTTGAACAGGTATTCGGACCGTACCGGAAATGAATAAGTAGGGAAGAGGAAAAGAACCCACTGAGACAGAAGTAAATATTCAGGAGTGAGGATTAGGACTTATTAAATGGGGGTTACGTTCGATGTGAAAGGTTCTACATTTAAGCTAGGTGCACGTCTATTTATTAAAGATTGGGATAGCTTCCGATAGAATTTCGATTGTATTTAAGCGCAAATGCGTTTGAAGCCAACAGTTAGTTTATGCAGCATTGTGATAAGCGGTTGTGATAATACCAGGGATACCCATCGCCGGGTTGTGCAAAGCCAATTAAAGATAACCCAGGGTTAGTGCGAGATTTGAATTCAGATATGAACGCTTAAAAAGAATAGTTAGGTTAAATATTTCTGTCTACAATTTGATGACTGGATGCTTTAAAAGGAGAATATATTATCCGAGAAAATGCTTTCAACAACAAAAAAGAAACCCAAATTAAAATTTAACCCCAGGTTAGCGCTAATCGGCCTTCGAACAACTGGGCCCATGTCTGTCTTTCGTGTTCTTCTTGTTTGGTGTGGGATTAAAGCGATATGCCCAAGCAGCACTTAATTGAAATTGAGGATAGTCTCTGTTACAAAATTGCGGTATATTTTATCTCAAATACATCAAGAGACATTTTCAATCATTCTAATCAAGCCAGAGGCAATGAGACGATATAATGTGTTGTTTCTCTGACTGAGTTATCTCATAAATATTTTTTAATCCTCCTCTTATGTATTTTAAGAAATTTTAAGTATTCGTTAATCCTACATTATCTCACAGAGTAAATGTAGTTAAAAGATAAAACAGGTAAAAGGAACATCTTGGGTGACGAAAGAAGTCAACAAATAGTAGTCCTGTAAATATGGTCTTATTATATAGTTTCCAAGAACTCCTCGAGTTAGTTTGGGGGATTTAGCCGTCACATGCAAATATACTAGAAACGTTTTCGAGATCATTCTTCCTTACGTATTTAAGGGACAAATTATTTACGGTATAATACTAGATTTGATAGACTCAAGATAACACAAGTGTGATGTTTGCGTGTGATACCTGTGAGTCTTTGCTAAATTCCCAACACCTTTGACATACTTGTTTCCTCTAAGATGCCAGGTTATTCTATAACCATTTACGATACATGAATTAAAAATACCCTTGCCGTGTTAATTATGAGTTCAATACCAGTTCTGGACGAGAACAATTTACATAGCTATACTCCCTTTCTCCCAGAACAACCCGCTATGTAAAGTACTAGAGTCTCCACCCTCTCCAGACAGTTTAAGCATCTAAAGTAACCGTAATTATAGTATGTTTCATTTTCACACCATTAACCCTTTCACTGCCAAATCTAGCCAAAAGTAAATTTCGACCAAATTTCCAACTTCATTTTGCGAAAGACTGAAAAACAAATAGCACCATGTGTTAAGTACAGGGAGAGAGGTTTCGTTTGAATGGTAACATCATAGGATTTCATCCACAGACTTGAAAGTTAGAGTCAACTTACAAAACTCCACCAAGCACTCTGGCAGTGAAGGGTTAAGACGCATTAAGCCTACTTATGGCTTTGTGGTGGAGGATAACAATTTTCTAAAACGTGTTCAAAATTTTAAGGAGTTATTACCGTAGCAACATAATCATGTTATTTTTGGAAAGCAAACAAACAAATAGTTTTAGTTCCAAAGTTGCATCAACATCATTCTTCCCAAGGATCGGAGAGGGAAAAAGTTCTTCTGAGGGCTATGGGGAGCGAGGTGGGCGGGTGTAATATTTTAATGAGGGAATCCGAAGCCAAAAAGAATACGAAATTGCAAGGGGGATACAGAAATAGCCAAACCTTTCATCATGTGAAATTTTTAAGATTATCTTTGCCGAATTAAATTATTTTCTCTTAGTCTTCCGTTTGGGAATTTCAAACAGTCGTAACAAGATCAAATTTATAAAAGCCTCAGGAAATATCGATATGTGAAAAAGACAGGAGGCAACTAGTCCAATCTTTATTTTTTCCTGATTGAACGGGATTAAATGCATTCCACCCCAGATTAAACTGTTTCACTTGTCGAAAACTAATTAGGCTTTTAAATATGCGGTTTTGCTGTGTTTGTAAAACTAAGAATTTACCTCTCTCTTTCGTTTATCACCATACAGGACGCTTTTGACATTGTTGATCTTAACAGTGTGCAACGCGCGTGTTACATGTAAATTTTGTAAAAGGCATGCATGATTCGCCGCAAGTCTCTCGTAGCTTAGTAGTTAGAGTACCCATGACCTATTTGCGGGAGGTGCATGTAATTGGTTCAAAAACGCGGGCTTTTTTCCCCTTCCTTTTACGCTCGTGTCATGATTTACATATCAAGTTGAAGTGTCTTAACAAATTGATTGCGTCTATTGAAAAAAATTCAATAAATCCTTATCTATTTTGGTTGTAAGTTGCATACGTCCATCTAAAAGTTGAATCTTACAGATGTGCTTTTCCGAAAGGGTTACTGGTACTCCTTTCCAAATAACCAGTTACCCAATTATAAGGCAACAGTTATCACGTCTACTTAGTTTTAGCGACTGTGTACAACATCCTGTATTGTAACCATTTAACTGAAACCTTCTGCCTAGAACTTCCTCATGATACAATTAGGTTTCCAATTCTTAATATCTGACACTATGAAGTTCCTTTTCTCAATTTTTCTTTTTGCATTCTTGGAATGGGAAATGGTTAGCCAAGCATTACTTCAGACTCAAAGTCTCTGGATGTAATCTTATGGTGTGGCCTGAAACCTTTCTGGAGATACTTTCGCGTTATGTCATCTGTTTGCCATTACTTTGAATAATGGAATTTGCTGGTCTTCTAAAACGTCAAGTAAATATATAAAAAAATAATTCCGTTATTTACCCTCTAAAGTATTTATAGCACTAATGTTAGTGGGGTCGAAAACTTAAAAAACTTAACAGGAAGTCCAGCGCTCTAACCACTCGGCCATGCTGCCTCCAGCTTGGAAATGAAACTGGGTGCTACATGGGGGATTGAAAAGGAAATGGAATTTTGCCAAAGAGGAAGATGTAAACCACAGAGAGTGTGAAAAGTCCTGATAAACTTGCGTTGTTAACTTTGACAAACATTTATACCTTAAAGAGCATAATGATGAGTGAGTTTTAGTTTTTGAAATAAGCCAGATTTTGGAGAATTAGTAACTTTGAGATGCTTTGGTCAATTGCTGAGTTGTTGTAATCCCAAATTAATGGGAGTTAAAATGGCCCCAAGAGACACTGAAAACAACGCTTATGCAAAATTTTGGGGTGACAAACAAAGAGCATTATGGTATGTTATGGTATTTCTGGAGTGGTCCATTCTTCATTCTTGGCAATACGCGATCTTATTCACTTTACTGTAGATAAAGCACTTGAATGTATTGATGTCTGCCTCTTTGTCTCTTTTAAGCCTCTATTCAAAGATTTTGAGGCCTTACTGACTATAACTGCTTGCTTCCGATCACTAAAGCGATTGAACATGGTTGCAGACTGATCCTCCTTTAAAAGCGTTACCATACATGCGATGCCTTGTATTCCCAAAAAATCGAATGTAGAGCTCGATCGTGTGATCTCTTACTTCGCAAGTGGATCTTTCAATACTTCTTCATTCTTCAGTGGTGACATCGACCATTTCACTTAGCTGTAAACAAAGCACTTGAATGTGTTCATGCCAGTCTGTGTATAGTCTCTTCATGTTTAGCGATGTCTGGCCAGAAATCAGATTAATTATGGTTGCAAATTATTTTCAATAAGTATTTGATGCCATCTATTCCTTTAAAGAGTCTCTTAAGTTGTTTCTCTTTTAATTAGTAAAGTGGAGTTTTGCAAGAGAAGGGAGTGTTTGATAGCAGCTCAAATGATTAATAGTCCTTGAGCACTGAAATTCAAATAAAGCGTTCTAACGGAAATAAGGATCCGACTTTGGAACCTAGTTCACAGTATCGATAAGTGTGAGAACTGGATGAGATTTCTAAAAAGCAGTCATAATTTGTAAAGCAACTCGATCATGCCATTATCAAATTTTCACAGGAGAAGATTTTCTGAGTTAAATAGAAAAACAAGTATAACTCAGCTGAGACCAGCCAAACAAACAAGTCCACCAGGTATGCGCCCCAGGAAGTTTTGTTAGATACAGACAAATAAAATGGATCTCTGCAGAGACCATCCAATGTACACCATAGTTCCGATGTACACCATAGTTACGGAGACTCAGACTTACTTGCAAAGAAGCAAATGAAGCTCAGCTGAGACCAGCCAACCACTGATCCTTACTAGTTACAGAGAAGCAAATGAAACTCAGCAGAGAACTAGCAAGCCACTGACGTCCACCATAGAAAAGTCTCCGTCTTAGAGACAGTTTTATTACAGATCATTACAGACAAGCAAATGAAATTCTTCACAGTAGCTCCCCGTACCAAACTAAGCTTCTTTCAGAGAGTTATCACGCAAACAGTTAAGCAAAACTGCAATAGCTGTCCTTTATATAGTTCAGCTACGGGACAAAAAAAGCGCAAATCGATGTTTCAGAGACCCGTGGACCGCTGATGCTCTTCTTTAATAACAAAATATCTGACTTAAAAAGTTGAGTGTCCAACAAAGATGTCGGAAATTCTCCAGGACCTTTCATTCATTGAAGAGTGTCTTCAGAGAGGAATCTGCCTACCAAAGAGTGAACCTTGAGAAAGTTTTCTTTTAGACAAAAACGGCGTGAATTATAGGATGAAAGGGGGGCTTTTAGGATAATAGTTTAAGACAATATTCACTTCACTTAAGGTACAGAATGCAGCCGCAAATGTCGGACTACATCTAAATGCAGTTAAAACTCAGGCAATTGTCCACAATCAAGATCCAGCGCTGAGTAATCAAAACCAAAAGGAACAGTGGCTGATTTAAAATCCCTAGGTTCTTGGATCGATGACATGAAAACGAGAAAAGCTCAAGCATTGGTGGCGTGCAATAAGTTGGGCAAAATTTGGAAATCTAAACTATGTAGGGAATTAAAGATTAGGGTATTCCTGGCAACAGTTGAAAGTGTTTTCCTTTACGGCAGCGAAACATGGACTCTGACCAAAAGCACAGAAAAGCAAATTGATGGTGCCTATACTAGAATGCTTGGCACAGCACTAAACGTTTCTTGGAGGGATCCCATTACAAATGAAGATCTGTACGGTCACCTCCCAAACGTTTCTAGAGAGGTCAGGGAAAGAAGAATGAGAGTAGCCACAAAGACGAGAAGGCATCAAAGCTTGTGTTGTGGTAGCCATAGCACGGACAAACCTTTTGCCGAAAGATAACCTTTATTATATTTTTTGTATAGTTTGGAAAGTACATTATCAGCACAGTTCCAGGGCGAGATATCTCAATCAAATGTTAAATGCGACAAGTTTTGTAAGCGTTTAAAGTTGATTTCGTAATCTCCTACAATCATCGTCAAAGTGTTGGGAAGGTTGCCCTTTTCACCTCTTCTTTTCCCTCCTCCCCCCGCCCCTGGCCCAATGTTGATCAAAACTTTAATGTTTGTACGCGCAATTGTTCTGTTATATCCCAACATTGAATAGGGGGGACGGGGGATATTTAGCAAAAGAGAAAACTCTTTTTTCAGGATTAAAATGGACTACTGTTAAGTTGCACAACCTTCCCAACTACTTTTGACTGTGATTGTAGACCAAAGTGACTTGAGAGGGAGAATCCATGTTGTCCGAGCGAGTACTCTACCCCTCCTTGCAATGAATCGTTCAAAAGGACCTTGTAACAGCAGTATAGCCAGACACATCTGGGAAAACAAGTATCGGCCATGTCATTTTCTGTGTCGAAAGTAATATTTCATTCCTATGATATTATTAGTCGCCATTCGTTTGAAAAATCACTCGATCCCAACAGGTGTCTTGTGTTTGTTTATGAATGGGATGCCTACTGGAGGCCTAAAATCGTTTCTCATGCGAAAACCACTTTTTGTGCTAATTAGTTTTGCAAATGTGACTTTTGTTTTCTCTCTCTATTAACGATTAGCCTTCTCTGGGTTCATGAGAGTGATGAATTAGAATGAAAGTAACACAAAAATAAGAAACGATATTCACCTGTATTCACCTGTGTCATAAACACCTTCAGGGAATTACCTACTCCAGATAAGGCGAAAGAAATTGAATACACCATGCACTTCTTTGTTTCAGAGATAACCTGTATGCCCTTGGTATACACTCAGGTTATCAAGAAGTATCTGTTTCTAATTAACTTGAATTGCGGCTGATGCTTTGCAAGGCGACCTTTTGAACTTCAAAAATGATTTTTGCATGTGCTGAAACTGCTGCGTGATGCACGAATGTTTAGACGCGTTTAAAGACCAATTAGGCTAGTTGAAACGAAGTCAGCAGGAAAATATCCAACTGTTTTAAATAGATAATTAGCTCCTTCAATTCATCCTTGGTTTAAATCGAAAAATGAGGTATCAGAGCCAAACATTTTTCGAGAAGAAAGAGCGATATCTCGGAATGCCTCGTGATCACTTCACAATAAGCAAAATTACTCTTCATGTCTACATACGACTTGCATTTTTCTTGAAATGCTCCTTCACACACTTGAGAAATTCACAATTGGATAAGTCACTTCCTTCTACAATAGAGTGAAGGGAGCCAAGGCAATGACTGAATTTCCTTTATAAGATCGAAAAATATTTTTAAAATTGTGTGTAGCGTGTCTCTGTGGTTGTGGTCAAGTTGGGCTTCCTTTTACCACTGAAGAGGAACTACAAATATACATGTTAGAGCACGGAAGGAACTCTTTTCAAGCAATCAAGAGGGTTTCCGATCAGGAAATCAACTCTTTCGCTGCCTACTGGGTTCCATCGACAAACTATTGAACTTTCAAGGAAGCAGTTCCTGCCTCATGGTCACTCCCAGAGAGAAAATCACGATAACATGATTCTCTGATTCTCACAATTTTTTTCGAATTAAATTCGTGTAGCTTGTGATGCACAAAATGACTTTGAAGGTGAAAAGATACCTTAATCCTTTCCCAAATCACTGTTAAACATGAAGATATCTTGGTCCAAAGTTTTCAGTAAATTTATCATCAATTTTTTCCTGTCCTTCTCTAACCAAAGACCGTTTTTAACCGAGTTTTTATGTACTGTTATATCTACTTTTAGCAAGACCGGGTCACTCTCTGAGATTTTCCACATTTCAAGTGGATGGTACTAACTTCCAATAAGACTGTCCCTTTACTCAACCTGCCGGCGCTCAGTGCAGTAACCTGAAGTTACCCAACTTAAAAGATAAGCTTAATGTCAACAAAATATTCTAGACAAGAGTTTATCAAAAGTTACCCACATGCTTGAGTCTTGCTATTGGATTAAGGGCTCGGTGAAACCCCGACTAATTGTAAAGCATGTTGGATTTGAAGTACTGTGGTTCTCACGCAAAGAGAACCCAGTGCTTCCAGGTACGTGTGGGCGAGATATCCTCGCACAATCGGACGAACAGGGAAGTAAAAAGGAAGAGAAAAGAGAAGAAGAATTAAACCTTTTTCACTCTATTTCTTCAGCTGTTCTTTAACAGTTGATATTTGTTATCTAACAACTGCAAACATCTGTTTTATTTCGTACCTATTTGGAATGTTCTTGTCGGTGAAACTTAAACGATGCATACATGACAGATAGCTGACCCTGTGTCGCGACTTAAGCCTCAGTGTATCATCGGCGGTAAAGCATTGTACTTTCTGAGTCAATTAAGTTACATGAACAAGTATAAAGCAGTTCTTTATAGTCTATAGACTAAATGACTTATGGTGTTACCAGTCAAATAAGACCTCTCCACCAGCACTTTACCGTTGTACTAACTATTTGTTTGTCTTAGTTGGTGCTAACTTTACTTAGAGTCTGTAGGCGAAATCCTATGGTGTGCAATAAAATGAAAGCTACCGACCAGTACTTTTCTGTGGTGCTATTTATTATGCTGTGCAAGGTGGTTCTAAGTGTTAAATCCGTGGGTGAAATCCTACAAGAATAACATTTATTTGTATGACTGCAGTATTGCAAAAGTCGTTTATATCTAATTCTTAAAAAGTTGATTAAGTAGCCAGGGGAAGAGCTATGTATGAAGTTTGTTTAATCAAACAACCTACCAGTCGGCCCGCCTGGTTGTTGTGCTGATTCATCAGTGATTTTATATCGGATCCTTTCTCTCGAGAATCCATAAACTTGGCTGCGAACTTTGCACCATATAATGCGTTGTCGCTACAGCCTCCCCAGCTCCAGCCCCGTCCTTCGCCAGTAACGGTTTCGTCACATCTACAAGTCGCCAGTTTTCCCATGCTACATGACGTAGCAATGGCTTGTGTCATCCCTGCTGAGATGATGGCGTGCACAAAAGCGGTCTCTCGAAAACCTGCAAGTGGCAACAAGTTAATGAACTAGGCGCGCGTTTTGTGGGATTACACGGAAAATCTTCGATCGCTATCTCCGAAAATAAGCTGAGCCGGCCGTGAGCGAAGGTAAAGATTGATCGTTTTGTCCAGATGACTAAAACACAGATGGTAATGTGCCAAAGTATAGGCAAAAAGTTTCAGTTTAATGGTCATGCCATTCGATTTTGTTCACGGACTCAAAAGGTACAACCTTCACTCTTCTTAGGCTGTTAAAAGAGTGAAAGGTTCGTGGAGGAAGTGCATCAATGTCCATTCTTCACATATTCGTTTGATTAAATTTAAATTGAAAGCAGTTCAGCAGACACTTTTTGTGATACTGTTATTATACGGACCAACGTGGTTCCACGTGTGTATAGAACGCGTTTTTATGAAATCCTAAAGGGTGATGAAAGCCACAAAGAGGTACCTTTCGCGCTTTAAGCTTCAGTGTGTGATGAGATGAAATGGATCTTTGCTACAAAGGATGGCATCCAATGAAAGGATTATAGCCCTTGTTTGAAGTATCAAGCCCAGTGTATGGAGATTCCAATTTGAGTACATTAAGCACTCTAAGAAGAGGACCTTTCATTGCAGCAGACCTTAATGTACGCCAAAGTGAATCGGATGAGATTGACGAAGGTTTTTATGCACTTCTCTGGAGATCTAATCGTCTTACATACCGGCATCGCATGTTTACACTTACAAGGGCGGTAATTGTTAACGAGACCTTTCACGTTGAAGGTAGCCCTGTTATATAAATAAACCTTTGCTATTTTTATGTCTTGACTTGTTTTCATCATTTTTAATGCCCTAATGACGTCTGTTTTGGCTATAACGAAGTGCCAAGCAACTGAAAAGCCTCGCATTCCCAGAGATCGCTTAAGAGTTCTTATAGGCTGGCCAAAGAAGTTTAAGAAACGCCGATTAAACTCTAGTTATGAGATGAAGGTCAGAGACAAAGACCACAAACTTCCTTTAACGATAATTCCCCTTTAGCATGTACTTTCCAGGTGTTTGTCACTATGCTATAAGAGACGTAGACGTATTCTTAATTAAGAAGCCTTCCCGAAGCCTTTGTGTTAGCTAGACTAGTATTAACGTACCTCTCGCAAGCAAGCCACTTGTCAAAGGATTCTTATTTTTGGTTTCCAAAGCAGAGCAATTCCATCGTTGGTACTTGAACCTTTCTTGACACTCGTGAACAGCCATCTGCGCCCCTTGCAAAGCGCTCGCCACAACGTCAGCATGGCTTTTGCACAGTTCCATTTGTTCTTTGCTCAAGGAAGGAGTGTTCTTGCAGACCGTGTTTGGGTTGAGTATCGGATCTACTTCCAGAGGGACACCGGAGGTAAAGATGTCGTACCCTGTAAATCTAACAAACCGCTGTGGGTTTAAACTACTGACCAGCAGAAATTCGCAACTACAGTACCGAGGAAAGACTGTTGCCTACCTTGTGTCGTTTGCCAGCACTTGTAGGCACATGTAAACACAGGCCAAAGCAATTGCTTGACGTGAGAAACGCATCGTTGAAGTCCTAAGATTCCTATGGTGGCTATACTTGCGTCTGTCAGTTTTGTGCTCCAACTAGAACCCCTGCTGTTGAAATAATGAGCCAAAGGTGAGGTGTGTTTTCAAATCCAATTTCAGTTCATTACATACAGACCGCCGACCCCGTGAATGACACACCAAAAGCTAGTGCCTTGGCCACAGCGCAAGCGATCGTAGTAAACATCACCGCTTTCCAATCGATCGAAAATGCATCTGCCTCTGTCCCTTTGGGTAGTGACATGCAGATAATATGGTCTGCCTTGACATGTATCTTATGGTTGGATGGGTAAAGTCGCTTTTTGTCGACGACAGACGTGGAATGAGATAGCCAATTAAATAACGTAATGACTTTACACTTTAGGGAGATTATCTCTTGGATATACAATCCCAAACGGGTTTATAACCGCAGTTAGATTTTCCACGTCAAAGCTAAAGTTCTTAAGATGTTTTTGTTTTTGTTGCTCCATGTTATTGGGTGTACTAGAGTGTCATGACAAATCCTATTTCCCAAAAACAAAATGAAGTGCACATATGTGCAGACAAAAACATGGACAGCGTAGTACCTAGTCTGTGGGGGAGGGATCATTGCAATAAAATGCTCTTTGATTCACATAGGTCAGGTCGAGTCAAACAAAAGTCAACAAAATACCCGTGGTCAAATGAGATAATTCAATTAACAGCCTTTTGAAACTGGAACTTCCCGGTGTACCCTCCCGTAAGGTGTGACTATTGGGCTTTTTTGTATACAGAAAACCGATGTATCTGTTCTGGGATTCTTGTCCAAAAGAATTAAATTATTGTTAGCTCAGCGATTTAGAAGGAATAAAGTTTTAACGGTTTGGGTATGTTTAAGATGTGCACCGTACGTTGCCTATGTGGAAACAAGAAAAGTACGTCCGGATTAAGTCAAAATCCTGAGTCGATTTATGAAGCATTACTCCAGGAGGGGATTGCAATTTTGTGAGAAGTGAGAACTTGCGGGCGTTTGTGCAGAGCTCCGCGGCTTTCTCAAATTTCGCATTTTGTTTCTAAAGTTTAATTCTCTGATTATTAGTTTTTTATCATGGGAGACAATGTTAAGACCTAACGTACCCTAGCATAAATTGTCGTTTTTGATAGATATTTCTTTTTTTATTTTTTTTCTCTCTTGTTATTGGTTCCCTAAGCATGTCCCGCCTTAGATTAGCCATCACTATTTGCTGGCATGCCAAACTTGTAAATTTTTCTGAAAAAAACAAGCGTGTGTCTGTACTTTGTACTATCTTTAACAGACTTTGTGCCGCTGTCATTAAAGGGTATTTGGTGGTTTGGTCTACGATAGACAGGGTTTAAAAATTAGGGAGTTTTAGTCTAGGATTAAGTTACATTAACAGGCAAACTAATCAGTAGCATTATGAGTTAAGTCCAAGTGGTCAATAACAGGACAGGAAGTCTGGCATCTGACTTGACCGCTTAATTCGTGTTATTTTGTATAATGTCTAAGATTTGAAGCGGAAACTGCTCGGAATATTTCAAGAAATATGTACAATACCCTCGAATGCTGCTCAAGGCACAACCATAAGCTTAGGTCAGCAAGTGACCCAGTGGCGTTAGGACAAAGTTTCTAATTACGCAACATCTCTTGCGCCTTTCACGACTTTGGAATACGTTATGCAACAACCGCAATGGTGCGGCATTAAGAGATTTTGCAAGTTTAGCAAACTTCTGACCAAAGAAATATGTCGTCGTTGTTTGTACAACGCTAACTCACATATAAAAGTGTAGGGGATGCTCGTCGTCTCCCTTTGGGGTGTAAATTGCAGATTTTGGTCTCACTTAGGGTGTTTGGGATGGAAAGTCACTATATTGGACCATTCAGGTATCTCTTAGTACTGTCCATAAAGAAGTTTACAAAAAATGTCCTGACAGACAGTACAGAAATCTTCCTAAGGGGTCAGTTTAAGCTTGAGCCACACCCACATTGGTCTCCCCTAGGGGTTTAATTTGAATTTTCCGACGAGAATCCCCATCACGTTATGGGAGTCCCCCCCCCTCTCCTTACACCCTGCTCCAGGCGTTTAGGTACAGTAGTTGGGATGACACAAAAAAAGGGAGCAGGAACAAAGGCTAAATGAAGCTACAATGGACTATAATAATAATGATAATAATAATAATAATAATAATAATAATGCTATTTCACATACATAAACGTATACTGATAAACATGACACATATTTGAAGAGGTGGAGTGCCGAGGAACCTCGACATTGCAAAGGGCCAAGGGAGTGGCAAAATTTGTTCGCTATAACGAGGTTTCTTTAATACTACTGGGGTAAAAAGAATCATTCGTTATACCGAGAACTTCCTTATTTATAGGTTCGTTATATCGAGTTTCACTGTAAACTCATGGACCTGTTCCAAAGATCTTACTACAACCGGTTTGAGGAGTATGTTTTGTTTTACAAGGGTTATTGTTCTACAGCGTTCGTTATATCGGAATTTTAGAGTTGTTTTTAACTTCGTCATATTTACTAGACAAAGTTCTATGCCCAAAAAAGTTTTAAGCCTCCCTTTTCATAGTTGACTGAGGGTTGGACGTCGCCCTTTCACGAAAAAGGGAAGGATTTTGACTAGTTAACGAAGTGACGTTTTTGAAGAGTTGCCAAAAGGTTTACAAAGTTTCTAAGCCGAAACTGTAATGTTTTTGTTTATTGAAAACGGTCACGTTTTTATCCCTGGACCTTGACTTCTATTAAGAGTACCGGGTTACCACAAGAATCCATTAGGGAGCTTATGCAACCACAACAACAACGTCAAAAAACAGAAAAAAGAGCGTCCCTACCCTATTTATGACCAAAATCTGCGATTTTCCCTACCCTATTTATGACCTAACAAAAATTTGATACCCTATTTATGACCTCACCCTTAAATCAATACCCTGTTTCAGACCTGCCTTATAATTATTTCTTTAGTTCAGACCAATGTTAAAGGCAATGTTTATCTGCTTTTATTAACGCTTCTTCTAAAAAAAGTGCATTCAATGCGAGTGCAAAAATCGTTTTTATGACCAAAATGGCGGCAAAATAGCCAAAATTCAATTTATGATTTACCCTTTGGGGTCTTTATAGCCCATATTAGGGAGTACCCCCCCCGGGCAAAAACAAGAGCTTAAATGAAAATTTCTTTGACGCGTCCAATGCACGACTACGACGTGAAACCTTCTAATGCGACGTTTTATGGAGGATGGAAACATATGACGAATAATTCATCTTTCTGTCTTTGAAGTTAAATAAAATCTTAACAATTCAAGTCCACTAAAAATCGCCTACATTTAGCTATGATGCTACGTTCAAACCCGGAATCACTCGCTTGTAGTAAGCCATTAATTTACAAGATGGCGTCATTTTACTACTAACTACTACCAGAATCCTTCGGGGCATTGTTTTTTAAGGCAAATTAAGGCTTTTGATATTTAGACTTCTCTGGGATTACCAAATTTGAATATGAAAAAAAAGTGAATTTCAGACGTCATCTCGTAGATGGCCTATTCGCCTGTACAATAAAAGAAACCGGAATAGAAATTAAACCTGTTGATTGGCCCAGAAACAATTCTTATGAAAAGCCCTGTTCTAATTGGTTTGATATCAATTCTCCCCATGGGATTCGAATTAATTTTTCGTGTCTGACAATGATGTCAAAATGTAGCTTAAGCTGATAATGCTCCATCTCTCTGACTGTTTTCAAACAAGTGACATCAAACCATAGGCTGTGTTAATACCATGCCGGATAGCGTTTGCTCCGCCATGAAAATCATACCTGAAATGTCTTCTGATCACTGTACTCTGGGCGGCGCAATTTTTCTGAGGAAGCGAAGCTGCGCAGCGCCGATCTCGAAAGTGGAGTGTTACGTATCGGATAGGTTTTGTGCCATAGTTTGGTGCATTGTGAACACTTATTTGCCCGCTGAGACGGAAGTAAATGTTCTTGAGTGAGGACTGGAAATTAGTTCACCAAACCCTGTCGGCCAACCGCGCCTGCATGATGCTCGATATGTGTGAACGACTTGTGCCACCCCGGGCCGTTGATGCTTTGACTTCCACGAGCACAAAATAATTCGGTATAGCAGACGGTTTTCGCGCCTCGTGCAGGTGGAATGCAACAAGTTGTCTCCTTCCCTTTCTCCTAGAAACGAAAAACAAACAAACAAACGGTGTTTAAGACCAGGCTTAAGTCACGCCTAATTGTTGAGCAGCGAGACAGTGGGATCTTAGCTTAGGTATTGAAACAGGAAATAATAGTGGTCTTAGTCGCCCTTTTGTCATATATTTGTTTTGATGTCTTTTAACTGGTTTTGCTGATTGTCCGAGACATAATTCTTGGCAAGCCACAAACAATTCTGACCTTTTTAAAACTGCTTAAAACTTCAGTCTCCACAATACGTTAAGAGAGTGTGTGCAGGGGTTAAATGTGCTTTAGTTTAGTCGTGAATTGTAGCTACTCTAAATAAAGTCGACAGGATGAAAACATGTTAATTGGTTCCAAATTTAGCCAGGACTATTGTTGAAGTTGTTGTTGTTGATGATGTTGTTGTTTTTAACCATACTGTGTTTTTCTTCATTATCGTTTTACAAATTGAAATTTGGCCTTTTTCATCTCAGCGGAAGTACCATCTCATCAACTCTAAACGCACATTTTAAAGACACGTAGCATTTTAGTTAAGCTACTTTGAAAAGTCTGCAACTAGGGCCCCTTTTTTGTGACGGTTTGTCTCACTAATCGCGTCAATGCAAACATTGCATAAGCTTAAATTGGGCTATTTCATGAAATATGCTAACCTTGATTATCCAGATTATGTCATCATCTGCCCTAGCAACAAACTTCCAACCAAAACATAGACATTTCGGTGGATTTCTACTGTTTGTAACGACTCTGCTATTACTCTTTTAAACATTCATAAGCCTCCAGCTTTCATTTTAAGGTTAGGTCTTACTGCACAGTTGTACCTTTGCAGTTTTATTACGGTTACAAGCTTTGTCAAAGTACATATGCTATTCCAACCCCAAAACATTTTG